TTTTGTATTTTTAGTAGAGACGGGGTTTCACCATGTTGACCAGGATGGTCTCGATCTCTTGACCTCGTGATCTACCCGCCTCGGCCTCCCAAAGTGCTGGGATTACAGGCGTGAGCCACCGCGCCCGGCCAAATTTACTTTTTTAATTCACAGGTAAAATTATATGTATTTACACATACAACATGATGTTTTGAAGTCTATATGCATTGTGAAATGACTAGCATTACCTCACATAATTACTATTTTTGTGGTAAGAACACTTTACATCCACTCTTAGCATTTTTATGACTACCTTATATTATTAACTATAGTTACCATATTGTACAGTAGATCTCCTGAACTTATTCTTTCTAACTGAAATTTTGCATCCTTTGACCAACATCTCCCCAACCACCCCAGGCCCTGATAACCACCATTCTATGGAGGCTTCTCAAAAAATTAAAAATAAAACTATCTTATGATCCAGCAATCCCATTGCTGGATATATATCCAAAGGAAATGAAAACACTATGACGAAGAGATATCTCCATTCCCCTACATATTACAGTGTTAATCACAATAGCCAATGTATGGAATCAACATAAAGAATGTTTTTAATGACAAATAACCAGGGACACATTTTATTAATCTAATATGCTACACCTTACTATGCAAGTTGACCTTGCATAAAAGCAAATTTACAAGAATATTAGCAGTAAATAATTCCTAACATCTTGGAGACAGTTTTTAAAACAATACATTTGTTGACTCATTCAAGATGTACTTACTGAGCTACTACTGTTCTATGCCAAGTGATATTCTAGGTCCTACACATGCATCATAAACCAAACTGAAAAAAAAAATTAACTCTTGTAGATTTTCAAAGTTACTATAGTAGCGAGAGGAAGAGACAAACAGCAAGAAAAAAATACATGTAGTTATTCCTTACTTAACGACAGGGATATGTTGTGAGAAATGCACCATTTGGTATTTTGTCATTGAGCGAACATCATAGAGTGTACTTACGCAAACTTAGATAATACATGCTAACTGTAAATGTAGTCTAGATGGGTGGCCTGTTGCTCCTAAGCTCCAAACCAGTATAGCATGTTACTGCACTGAATACTGTAGGCAATTGTAACACAATGGTAAATATTTGTGTATTGAAACACAGTATAGTAAAAATATGGATTTTTACTATAAGATGATGGTCTCATAAGCTTGTAATACCATATTTTTTCAATTCATCGTTGACTGAAATTTCATTATTTGGTACATAGCTAGGTTAGATAATGATAAGCACTATGAAGAAAAATATAGCATTACTTACACATTAAGAAAACAGATCAATCTACTAAATATCAGGTCATCCAAAAATTATTTTTTAAACCAATATAATAGTTACTCCTGAGAATAGGTTCAAGAATTTTTTTAAATCATGATAAATGTCATCTCCTACCCCTCTTCATTCCCGCCTCCATCTCAATCCATTCTTCAAAGAGCAGCTAGAAGAATTAGATCCTCCAGAGGCTTCTCATGATCCCCCTCACTTAGACCCCTCAGCACAAACTGACCCGTGCCCGCCTCCAGCTTCATCATCCTCTGTGTTTCTCTAAACTCACTATATTTGAGCCATAATAACGTTTTGTTTTTGTAAGTCTGTCAAACATATAAAGCATCTTCCTGCCTTAGGTCTTCACACACGTATTGTTCCCACCTTGGGCCCACCCCCACCTCCCTAATCCCAACCCACCTCCAAATCCATGGGGCTCTTGCTCCAGACTCTGCTGGAAGTCTACTTCTCACTTGTAAGCTCATGGTCCCAATGACGGATGGTTTTTAATCTTTGCTATTTGGCTTCTAGGATGGGTATGTCTTACTAACTCATGTATTTTCTCTAACATGTAGAATCTGATTCTGATGGCCATTCCCTCTGAGGAATAAGATGCTTTCTGGGACTTGTAGCCATGGAAGAAAGGTTTAAAACACTTTCAAAGAGTTGAAGAGAAGCCACTTTATGCTTGGAATCATTGTTGAAAAAAATTCAGTTATGAAAAACCACAAATGTGTAAACCATTAAATAATCCCAGATAGCAATAGTTCAGGGAATTATTGTTCAGTCACCTCATGCTAAGTATTCTAAAGAACACACACACACACACGGCAAACACAGGGTTGGTGATGTTTTCTATGTCTTTCAGAGTGAGAAATTAGAATTATTTTTGAGGATGAGAAGAATCTTTTCACAATGACTAGCATATCCCAAATTTCCACCATGACACAAATTTAGAAAAATATTTGATTTTATTTCCATATATGTCGCCCCAATTTTTTCAGAGGCAAGAACCTATCTTTTCTTTTTTTTTATCCCCAAGAACTGGCCGGAAAGAAAAAAAAAGTTTAAAATAGATAGTCAATTAATATTTATTAAATAAATCACAGATAGTAAAGAAGTATTAGAAGCAGCCTGAGCTGAAGCTAACTCTCCCTTGTCTCTATCAGTCAGGCAAATTATAGCTCAGAAGCCACTCAGGGAATAGAACTCTCTTGTGAAGCATCTATTCCTTTAAACTAAGGCCTTAAGTTTTCCCAAACCCTGTAAATTCCCAGATTCTTCTATCTGGATTTATGCAAGAATGATTCCAATCCACTGGTTGGCAAGGAGAATGGTTTAATAACTGCAGAGGAAATATAAAATTCTATTCAGAATACAATGAAAGCTGTAGGGGATTATGTATTCATTTATCTTGTAGTACAAAAACGCAAATCTTCAAATAACAGAGTGTTGCCATGTTAGCTTCCTCTGGAGAGTTGAAAAATAAACTGTGAAGACAGCAGAATGATGTGATTTGTATCGGAGTCACTGGAATTGACAAAACCTAAATTCTTTTTTTAAATTTATTTATTTCAGTTAACAAATGACAAATTTTATAAACTAGTGGCATACAATATGATTTTAATGTATGTTCTGCTATGCAAAGCCTCAATTCTTAATCGATCTACAGGATTCAGCTGATAATGTGAATTCTGTCTACCTGTGTTTTTACATTTGTGAAAGAATTATATTACTTTATTATTCAGTTTTTTTGAGATTCCATATTCTAAAATTATGACTTTCAACCATCAAATACAAGGTAGTAGAAATATGGGGCAAAAGTTTTTGCAGTTTTATATCAAAAAAGTAGATAAATGCAATAGGGAGTGCATTAAAGAGAATAGAAAGAATTTTTTTTAAAGGAACAGGGAAAAAAGAAGAGAAAAGAATGTAAAAGAAAGGAGAGAGGAAGGGAGGCTGAAAGAGCAAAGAAAGTGAGGAAAGAAGGGAAATATTAAAGTATTTGATAGAGCTTCCCTACCACTCAGATGCTTTTGTATGTGCAGTATTTCAAAGTTCTTCCTAGGTAAATAGCAATGTCTTTCCTTTTTATTAGCACTGCTGCAGCTGCTGTTGCTCACAAAGAGATTCACAAATCAAAATAGACTCAGTTAGCTTTTCAATAATTCTGAAAAGGTAGGAGAACATTGCCAGAGAAGGATAGCACTCCAGTATCCTAACATGGAGTCTTGTTAGCAAAACGAAGTGTGAATTGCTTAGATAATTCCCTGCTGTTGGTAATTCCACTGGGTGCCGCCTGTGCTATTTCTTCTCTATAGACCAATGCCATTGAACAGGAGATGTCAGAATAATATGAAAAAGTTGCTCTTTTGAAATGTTTAGTCTTTTGGATTTTTTTAAAATGTCAGCATGATTCATACCTATTGGTTCTTAGCCTGGAGCACCCAGCACACCAGGCATTGAGGAAGCTAGGCCAGGATGTGAATAATGAATGGGCTGCATAAGCGGAAGTCTATACCCAGTCAACAGTAAAGGCATGTGCAGAGTTGCAGGCCAGCATTTTCACAGATTCTTTCTATTCTCTCTCTCTCAAGGGAAAACAAGAAAACTAGCAAGAGCTAGCAAGAACTAGCAAGAGCTTGAACAAACGCCTGGACTCAGATTGGAAGACTGCTCATTTGTCTACTGCTTCATTCCTGGAAATCACACTGGAACTGCCTGATTAAGGTATTTGGAAAAAACAAATTTTGACACATTTTGTTGATTATCTACCTCCTTTATCCATCCATATCTTTTGATATGTGGTGGCAGGGCGGAGGGGGTAGTATTTGTGCCGAAGATTGGAAGATTGAAAAAATGTATCTCTTTCAAAATCTTTGTAATATTAAGGGGAAATTAGTATTTGTCACATCTTCTGAAATTATTACTAGTATTAATGTTTTTGAAATGCTGGTTTTGTTGGTGGGGCACTGGCTCCTTGTATAACATGTTTGCTTTCTCCCACTGTCATTTTGTACTCCATCAAATCCAAAGTTGTCATGGTTCATTATCGGTAGATGATCTTGAGCAGCCTTGCATTCTAAAAGAATATGCCATGGCATCTGCCTCTGTGCTTTTGTGGCCTGCTGCACAGCTGATATTTAGCAAGAGTATTGGGTGAGGGGCTAGAGGAGAGAGAAGAATTTGTCTCAGACCAATGTTTCTTTGCACCATGCTGTGTCTCATTCTTTCATACATGCCTAATTCAGCAGTGAAGTACATATATCACACTGTAACTATTACATACATTAGAGTACATAATTGGGGTTGTAAAGTATCTGTTGAATGTCTTAACTAATGAATTCTATCAAATTCAATTATCATTCTTAAACTCTTCATTAACCAATCAAATTACTCCTCTGGTATAAGTCATATCTAAGACACGTTTATTAGACATAAACACAATTCTATGAAGTAAATGTGAAGTGATTAGATTATCTCATGATCTTTACTTGGAGTCCCATGCTCCTGAAGTTTGGATTTCTAAAGAATAGCCTTTCACATTGTTTCCATTGTATGTAGGAGAAATAACACTACAGTGTGAAGCTCTGTCCTTAAGACTATTTAACTACTATATCTTAAACTTTTTCTTTCCCTCAGGAAGTTTGCTACAGTGAGTCACCAATGCAAAAATACATAGAAATATACCAACCATATATGTCTATAAAATTAACCTGCTTATTAAATAAATATATCTATAGACTTATGCCATACTGAATCATAATGTTCTTCACCTTTTAGGAATAAATTATTTCAGTGTTAGAACTTTCTCCTATCTCTTGCAGTAAGATACCACAGTGTAGGATCACAGTTGTTATTGTTGAAACTTTTTTTTCAAATTGTTATTTCTTTACAAGTAATTCTGGAAATGCATATACCCAGTATTGACAGTACTGAAGTTTTCTAGGAAATAACTGCCACATTACTAATTTACATTTGATATTTCAATCATTTTACAATGAAGGGCAGGTACCTAATGTCCTTGCAATATGATTCTTACCATACACATCTGAAAATATTTCCACTTTGTTCTTTTCTACTTTGATGTCTTTTAGGAACATTTTTATCTTCTGTCCTACAACTATTTTGAGAAGCATCTCAAAATGTGATCTAAAGCCAACCTACAAAATTAGCTGGGCGTGGTGGCACATCCCTGTAATGTAAAGGGATTACATCCCTGTAATGTAAAGGCACATCCCAAAAATATGTGCCTGGGTTCCATGCCAAACTTAAGTCAGAATCTTTGGGAGTAGGCCCTAGGACCAGAATTTAAAATACACTATTAGGTGATTATAACGTACTCCAAAGTTTAAGAACCACTGCTTTACAAAATGAGAGCAAGGAAGCAACTGATAGAAGAGCATTGTAAAACTACAGACATATAACTGACATCAAAAAAAAAAAAATCAAAATCAAGTTAAATTTGGATTTTAACTTTTTTCTAGATGTTTTCATTTCTTGACACTGCACTAAGCATTCTAAGATGTTTATTTCCTCATTAATATGTCTTAAATATTTTGAATTAAAATTTTAATATTTAGTGTTAATTAAGTATATTAAGGATATGGATGTCTCTTATTTAAAAGCTTTTCCAAGTTGTCTAACAATGATTAATATTTATAATGGTAAGAGGTATTAAATTAACAGTTGGCATAATTCATTATTTTCATATTTGAATCTTTAGTTTTGCAAAGCTTTGTAATAACAAGTCTTTTAATATTTTATATATCTAATAAACACCACTTTTTAAAGAATTTCAACCTATGTTTTTGTTATGGTGTCCATTGTGATGAACAACCTGGGTGTCTTACTTTCAAAAGATGCTTTATTAATACAACTAAATTGAATTCTTTGAGCTTAGATTTGAATATTTCCATGTTATCTAATGTTAGTAAGATAATTTTCTCAGTGCAACAAGTAAGACATTGTTTGCCAATTTAATATACTAAACTCTAAAGTAAGTATATACTCAAATGAGAGTTAGGGAACGAAGAACTGTCTTCTGAACCATGAAAAGACAAAATGTCATGATTACCTCGGGCACTGAAAGACAGCAAATATCAACATTAGTTCTAGTAGAAAGACTACAGAGAATGTTTGACCCGTAAAATTAATTTTTGCTTCCTGCATAGCCAACTCCATGGAGACAAAGTCTAAAAAGGGAAAATGGTCAAAATCTTAGGTTTGTAGGTTAACTTACTTTGTAAACTAAATATGTCCTGAAAAGACTGGAATAATTTAAATTCTTTCCATGTCCATAAGAATCATTTTATAAATCAAAAAGTCTTTTGTTTTGAGTTAGTTTTAAGGTTGTATTTAGATTATGGACAGGCACTATGGTAGTTGGGTTGTGTTTCAAAAGTTTTATTTAGAAGTTAAATATTTGGGACTCAAAACTTATTTTCAAATAGAAAGAATGCTATACATGATGTTTCATGCACAGATTCAATTATGAAATCCACAAAATTATAGTAAAAGTATATAATTTATAAAACTAGAGAATTGAAGAATCACCGAAAACAATACTATATGATCATCAAAATTAAGCCAATTAGATCACAAATAAATTATACATTTACTTTGAATATCAGTGCTAAAGGAAAGTAAATTTGCTTATAAATAAATGAGAAATTAAAAGAGATGGTAGGATATTTTTCTAAAACAGAGAGAAAGTGGGGTTCTAGCAGAGGAGTATTCTTCCCCTGAGCAGGGGAAAATGAGATGGAGGGGAGAAATGCCAGGTAGATTTAGAGAATCAAAAGCAAAAGGATCTCAAGTAGGGGTGGCCAGCAGCATGAAACTAGCTATTAAATAGAAAATTTGCTTGTAAATTGTATGTTTATAATCGAGAAGAACAGGGTGTATTCAATTCTTTTGTTGTTGTTGTTTGTTTGAGGCGAAGTTTTGTTGCCCAAGCTGGAGTGCAATGGTGTGATCCTGGCTCGCTGCAACCCCCGCCTCCCAGGCTCAAGTGATTCTCCTGCTTCAGCCTCCTGAGTAGCTGGGATTACAGGCATGTGCCACCACGCCCAGCTAATTTTGTATTTTTTGTATTTTCTCCATGTTGACCAGGCTGGTCTCAAACTCCTGACCTCAGGTGATCCACCACCTTGGCCTCCCAAAATGCTGAAATTACAGGCGTGAGCCACCACGACCAGCCTCAATTCTTTAAAAATGAGTAAACAACACATCCATTTAGATTGCAGCTGTGTAGAGGAATGGTTAAAGAGAGAAAGTGAGCATGCGTGCTAATTCAGTGACTGCCAACTAATGGAGTGAAGGGAGAGCTAATGAACCTCTGGCCTTCTATCAGTGGCTTTTGCTCTGAGTGGATTAACTCCTTACTCAACACTTTAGTGAGCTCCACTTTCTAAAGAATTCTACTCTTTGTTTCTTTCTAAAAATTGTGCGTCAAGTGAACCAAATCTACCAATTTGCTGCCTTTGTGAGCTCAGTTGTTCATTTAATTTATGAAATATTTATTGAATACCTACTATGTAGTCAGCACTTTGCAAATTTTGTTACTTTTAGCCCAGACTTTAAGACACAAAGAATATTTTATTGTATTTGAATTTTAGAATTTTGTATTTTACCATTTCTCTTTATTTTTTGTTTCTTAAATTTGGATAGTTGAAGGGAATAGAATGGAGGGCTAGCAGTGTGGATAACACAGAGACGAAGGCCAAAAAAGGAAGTACCTGTCTTATTCCTCTATTCTTCAGATTTTAAGGAGGTGTTAGCAGCGCTAAGCAGAGCCCCCATCACTTCCATTTAACCTTAAAAACAGTTGTTAGAGATGGAAAGACAAAGAGAACTATTTGCTCATGATAAAAATTCTCCATTCAAAGCGAAGAAAAATTAATACATTCAAAATGAAGACCTGCAATATAGAGCACTTTTTGAGCTGATGTATCTTACTAGTCGGCTAATCTATGTATAAGAAGCAAGAAGTCAGAAAGTCATGCTGGAAAAATGACCCATAATTCTTCATCAACTGTAATTTTCAGTAAAATAAAAGTCTAAATCTCCATTACTAGTTAGTTTGAAGTATAGAAGATTATCATGTAAGTTTCCAAAATTCCTTCTAACTCTAGAAATTCTACTGGAGAGACAGATGAATAAGACTGGGAAAAAAGAATGGCTCATCTTTTACTGAAGAAAGATGTTTAGAGGAAATTTTAAATATAAAGCACCCCTTCTTTCCATTCCATTTTCAAGATACAAGAGCAAAGAATGAGTGTTGTCAACATTCAAAGAAGTGTCTTAGGGCAGGAATGATCAATGTCTATGTTGAGTTATCTGAATCTATTTGACAGCTTCTGAAAGCTACTGTACAAACCTGGACTCAATAAGACGATGATGGTATAATCTCACAGCCTTGTGTGAATTTTCCAAATGGTTTTTTCACCCCAAGCCTTAGAAGTGACACTTCAAAATTGTATGACTGATGCTGTATCATCAGTTATATTCACATATAAACTTGCTTGATAATATTTCCCATACTTAAGTTTCCAGTCATTCTGTCTTTGTTTCTTACACTTCCCTGATCTAACAAATCTTACCCATGATGCAGCCTGAGTTCACACCTTTGTTTATTCAATAATTTTATTAAGCATCTACAATGTCAGTCACTCTTCAAAGCCTCTTGTCCAGGACTCTGACCTCATGGAGATTACATTCTAGTAGAG